TGCTTCAATAGCGGCCTTCAGCTGTTCTGCATTGTTCGGTCTCATGTCTTTCATCTTTCTCTTGGCAATGCCCCAAAGATTCTCTATGGGGTTCAGGTCAGGCGAGTTTGTTGGCCAATCAAGCACAGTAATCCCATGGTCATGGAACCAGGGTTTGGTGCTTTTGGCAGTGTGGGCAGGTGCCAAGTCCTGCTGGAAAATGAAGTCAGCATCCCCATAAAGCTCGTCTGTGGAAGGAAGCATGAAGTGCTCCAAAATCTGCTGGTAGACGGCTGCGTTGACCCTGGACTTAATGAAGCACAGTGGACCAACACCAGCAGATGACATGGCTCCCCAAATCAACACAGACTGTGGAAACTTCACACTGGACTTCAAGCATCTTGCAGTGTGTGCCTCTCTATTCTTCCTCCAGACTCTGGGTCCTTGGTTTCCAAATGAGATGCAAAAGTTGCTCTCATTTGAAAAGAGGACTTTGGACCACTGAGCAACAGACCAGTTCTGTTTTTCTTTAGCCCAGGTAAGACGCTTCTGACGTTGTTTGTTGTTCAGGAGCGGCTTGACAAGAGAAATACAACATTTGAAGCCCATGTCCAGGATCCGTCTGTGTGGTGGCTCTTGATGCACTGACTCCAGCCTCAGTCCACTCCTTGTGAAAGTCCCCAACACTTTTGAATGGCCTTTTCCTGACAATCTTCTCCAGGCTGTGGTCATCCCTGCTGCTTGTGCACCTTTTTCTTCCACACTTTTCCCTTCCACATAACTTTCTATTCATGTGCTTTCTTATAGCACTTTGGGAACATCCAACTTCTTTTGCAATTACCTTTTGAGGCTTTCCCTCCTTATGGAGGGTGTCAACGATGGTTTTCTGCACAACTGTCAGGTCAGCAGTCTTTCCCATGATTGTGATTCCTACTGAACCAGACTGAGAGACCATTTAAAGCAGTGGTTCCCAAAGTGGGTGGTACTGCCCCCTGGGGGTGTGTGGGATGCCTTAGGGGGGGCGCTAAGAGGCAAGGGGGGGGGTTGCACCGCTCCAGAGTCGGCGCCTTGAATTCAGCAGCTCCGATGCACTGCTCCGGTGCAAGTCAATGGCATCCATGGATCACCTAGGGTGGGGGTCGGCAACGTGCGGCTCTGGAGCTGCATGTGGCCCTTTGGACCCTCTCCTGTGGCTCCCTGTCAGATGATCCCACCACTGGCTGGCCCTGCCCCTCGCCCTCCCCTCCCTGTGATGACCCGTAGTCTCTCAAAATAACCCAAAACATATATTAAAGTCCGGTAAAGCCTTCAACTTAACTTCACTGTTTTATTAGGCAGTTTAAAGTCACAAAAGTAAATAATGAGGCTAACAGAAAACCAAAACAAACCGCACTGATGAGAGTTCTGAAGCAAGCCGAGATAACTAATCATAAACTCCAGGCAAATAACTGAGAAAAGTCCATGGGAAGAACGACAACAAAGATAAGCCTCTTTCAAGGTAAACACTAATTGACTCCAGCAATTCTAACTACGTAGCTGAAAAACTTACATACATAGCTCCCACCTGCAAGCCACGAGGAGGATCATGGTAATCTCCTCTTGAGTAGACCTCGCTTTTCCCTGATCCTCTGCTCCCTGCGTGACCTAGGATGGATAGGGGATGGGCCTGGATCCTCCTCTGACTGCTCAGCCGGACTCTTCCCTTCCCCAGCCTCCTCCACCACCTCTGGAGCCACACTCCCACTCCGTTGGCTGTTCCTCCTCTTCCTCAGAGTCAGACTCCACCAGGGGCATGACACTCCCCCTCACTCTGCCTGCCCTGAGAAGACAAGGGCAATGGTGGCAGATGGAGTCTCATTCCGTATTCTAGGGTAGGAGCGAAGTGCCCCTCTACTTGCTTCTTTTTCTGGCCCTTGTTAATGCTGTATTCACCTCGGCCGCTGGGAGAGATTTGTGACTTTTCTCCAGCCTGAGACACTGGCCGGGTTGGCTTGGAGCCAATGTTCCACACTGTAATGGGCTCCAGGAGGAGGGGGAGGGGATGGAGTGAAGTGCAGTAAATTTGAGTGTGCTGCACAGGTGCTGCAAGAGCAGCGAACAGCCATGGAGCCGGCTGTGGTGGGGCCTGGAGGGTGCACATGAGAGGAGAGGGAGAGGGAGAGGGAGGAAGGAACCCTCCGCCACGGCTTGCACTCCTTCCTCAGTCAATCTGGATTTCCAAAAACTCGCCAAGAAGAAAGAAAAGAAGCTTCTCACACTCTCGGAAAGCCGTACGTTCTCTACTCGGGGCTCTTCGCTATCCTTTTTTCTTCCTTCCTTTTGGAAATCCGGGCTAGCTGAGGAACGAGCAGAAGCCACGGTGGAGGCTTCCCTCCTCTCCCTCCTCCTCCTCTCGTTCTTCAGCCAGCCCAGATTTCCAAAAGGAAGAAAGAAAAGGGGACAGTAAAGAGCCCCAAGGAGAACACGCAGGGCTTTCTGAGAGAGTGAAAGAGACACAGAGACAGAAAGCGAGAGAGAGCGAGATACACACAGAGAGAGATTCGAGTCAATTCAGCTCTGTCTGCTCCCCTCTCTGTCTTTGCCCAGTTTTGCAAGGATTCAGCAGCGATCTAAGGCAGCAACCTCGTAGCACTGTGAGGAAACAGCCTGACTGTCACTCCTTTTGGAATGCAAGGTTTATTTTTGTATCTTTCCAGAGACAGAAATTTCCTTAGTTATTCCCTGGGTGTGGGAGTTGGGAAAGGGGCAGAGGTGATATTCAGCAGGTTCTCACCAGTTCTGGAGAACTGGTAGCGGAAATTTTGAATAGTTCGGAGAACCGGCAAATAACCACCTACTGACTGGAGATTTTACAGTATCCTTCCCCTGCCACGCCCACCAAACCACGCCCACAGAATTGGTAGTAAAAAATTTTGAATCCCACCACTAGAAGGGGGGTGGGGAGTGGGGGAGAAGGAGGGAGGAAGAGGCATAGAGAGAGAGAAAGAGAGAGAGAGAGAGAGAAAGAAAGAGAAAGAGATGAGAAGGAGGAAAGGAGAGAGAGGGAGATAGAGGGAGAAAGAGAGAGATGGGAGAGGGGGGGGGGGAGGGGAGAGAGAGAGAGAGAGAGAGAGAGAGAGAGAGACCGAGACCGAGACCGAGACCGAGACCTGATGCATCAGATTGAAATGAGGCCTAGTTTAGACTGAGGCCCTTTTCCACACTGAAACATCTTTGCCAGCACATTGAAACATCTTTGGCTTCTATTAAAGGTTTTGTGGACAAAACATGGTCAAGACTATAAGGAAGCTCTCACATTTTGTTGAGGCTTTAAACAGGATCCATTGGACCAGATTTCCACCCTAAAATATTACTTTTCCCCAATGTGTTACAGTGCCAATTCTGAAGAAAGCAAAACCAAAATGTACTGGTAAATTACAAGGGGAACACACACACACACACTCCCTTCTAACCCTGTTGGAGCAGGTGATTGGACTAGAATAGATATCTCATTATCTTTCTCCTCCCTCCTTCCCTCCTTCTTTATTTCTTTTTCTTTCTGTACCTTCCTTCCATCCCCCCCTTTCTTTGTCCCTTTTTTTCCTTTCCCTTTTCTCTTTCTTTTCTTGCTTCTCTCTCTTTCTCTTTGTTTTCTCTCTCTCTCTTTCCCTCTCTCAGGCTCACCCCACTGACTTGGTGCACTGCTTCGCTCAGACTTGCTTGGGCAGGTCCCTCCGGTGCAGTGGGCTCAATGGGGTGGACCTGCGGGGCTGGCACCTAAAACGTGGCAGTGGTGGCATGTTTGAAAAGTCAAGCAAAACCAGAGGTCAGTAATTTTTGCTGCAAAGAATCACAAAAGCTTCTGGGTTGTGCACAAGAAGGGACAGGCATGTCAATGCAACATAAAATAAAGAAATACAAATAAAACAAATCAACAAGAATCGGCAAAGCATCTCTGATTAGATTTTATTCACTACTAGAATCTAATCAGAGATGCTTTGCCAATTCTAGTCCAATGACCTGCTCCAGCAGGGTTAGAAGGGAGTGTGTGTGTATGTGTGTACATGGCTGTCAAAACTCCAAAAACAGGTCAAGTAGCTCTGGGGAGGCCAGTCACAAATTAGAACACTTGCTAAACAACCGGCTATTAAGTGAGGACCACTTGTATTTGGTTTGCCAGTCACCTGACCACGCCCACCCAGTCACATGACCACCAAACCATACCTACACGGTCATGTGACCAGCAAGCCACTCCCAGCCAGTAAGCCACACCACCCAGTCACATGACCAGCAAGCCATGCCCTCAAATTAGGCCATGCCCACAGAAATTTAAATCCCACCCCTGGGTGGGGGGGCACCAAGGATGAGTTTGTAGCACAAAGGGGGCAGTGTACTGAAAAAGTTTGGCAACCACTGATTTAAAGGCTCAGGAACCCTTTGCAGGTGTTATGGCTTAATTAGCTGATTAGAGTGGGACACTTTGAGTCTAGAATATTGAAACTTTTCACAATATTCTAATTTTTTGTGGATTTGGGGTTTTCATGAGCTATAAGCCATAACCATCTCAATTATGACACATCATGGCTTGAACTATCTTGCTTTGCATGTAATGAGTCTATCTCATATATTAGGTTCACCTTTTAAGTTGCATTACTGAAATAAATGAACTTTTGCATGATATTCTAATTTTTCGAGTTTCACCTGTATCTTTGTATCTATCTTTCCACATGCAACTATGCCAGTTCAAAATAAACATGGGTGTTGGCTAGATCACTTACTTTGAGCTTCTGAAAATGACAACAAGACAGATGGAGATCAGAAATCAACCACACAAAAATAAGAGACAGACATGCCTAGTAACTTACCCCTCCTGACAATTTTATCACCCTGACTTTGGTGCCAATATGGGTTCCATCGCCACTCCCATTGTTTGCCCGCTGCATCACAGTTCTTTTCAGCCCAGGCTTCAGCTCTTGAGGCTGGCCTTGCACCGATGCCACCCGAGCAATCTCGGACAGGTTCAAGTGCACAGCAGCAGGAAGCTTTGTTTGCAAAGCTTTATTGGGTAGCTGGAACTTGTTTTTGGGCATTGTCCTAGCCTGCCTTAGCTGCTTTATAGTTTTTATTTGCTGTCCTTGACATTGCACACTGTCTCCAGATTGGAGAACATTTACAGGCTTAAGCTGAACAGCTGTGGAACCTGGAATGACTGGCTCTTGTTTTTTAACCATTAGCCTGCATTTCACATTTTGGCGGGGCTGTGCACCAGGAAGGGAAAGCAATGGATTTCCATTAGTGGGCAGCTGTGAAGGGTCTTCCTCCTGTTGTTGGCCTGAAGAACCTTGTTGTTGCTGTGCCAGCCTTTCAAGCAATTCTCTTTTTCGGGCCCCAGCTTGAAGCTGCCGCCTGAGCTCCTTTTGTTTCAAGATCTCTTCCCTGAGGCGTTTCTGTTCCTCGATCTTCAAACAGTACAGTCTGGTTTCTTCATCATCATCAGGAAACTGCAAGGTAGCCAAAAAAGAAAGTTATGCATGGAGGAGGAGGAGAAAGAAGATTATTATTATTATTGTTGTTGTTAATAAGATGGCACATTTTCCCAGTGGTATTTTTAAATTAACTGATACACCACGTGGTGTCTTTAATGACAAAGCTGCTAACAAAAGTTTATGAGCTATTAATCAAACAAGCAATGAAGAGGCAAAGAATATACTACTCAATTTTGAAGTTTTAAATACAGTAAATCAGAAAGCTGAAACTGAAGCCTTCTAAATTGGAACTCATTTAGAAGTTGCTGAAACTAATTAAACTATTAATATGATTCAAAAACTCAAATACTTTTTCAGAAGGATGCAGTAACAATATGAGGTAGCCCACTGTGTCACACAGGATTTATCTTGCTCTTTTCTGACAAACTAACAAAAGGTAGGATGGTAAATGACTTGAAAGGCCCTGACCAGAACTACTGATTTTTCTTACAGAATTTTCAGTCTGATCTGAAACTCATTTGTCACACAATCATTGCTTATAATGAACAGAGGAAGTCAATCTCTGTGACTTTGAACTCATGTACTCTCTTCAGAATTAAAATGTTGCCAAATACAAGGTTAGAATATTAATACCAGGAATGGCTTTAATATTCTTGCCTTAAGCTTTTTAGAAAGTATTATAGCCTTTGTGTGCCAAATCATCTTTCCAGTAGACTTAAAACTTCAGCAGGATATATATCTTTATTCAAAGCTACTGAGAAATTAAAAGCAAATGAAAATTCTTTTTGCTGTTTTTAAATTTGCAGGTTCAACATAATTTAATACAGGTAGTCCTCCACTTACAACAGTTCATTTAGTGACCGTTCAAAGTTACAATGGCACTGATAAACGTGACTTATGACCGTTTTCCACACTTATGACCTTTGTAGCATCCCCATGTTCGTGTGATCAAAATTCAGATGCTGTGCAAATGGTTCATATTTATGACCATTGCTGTGTCCCAAGGTCATGTGATCACCATTTGCGACCTTCTGACAAGCAAAGCCAATGAGGAAGCCAGGTTCACTTAACAACTAACTTATCAACTGCAGTGTCTCACTTAACAACTGAAATTTTGGGCTCAATTGTTCTCATAAGTCAAGGACTACCTGTACTGTGAATTGCTGCTTTTAAAATATAACAGCAGTCTTCACTCCTATGTGGTTACAAAGCATATAGACTGTATAATAAATATATTTATTTATTCAAGAGCTACTTTCATAAGACAAAAATCTTTTCTTTCAAATTGAATTGACAAATGAGATGACTAAAACATCAAAGCTCTACATGGCATTTCAAATTTGCAAGGTTCTTCTCTTTACTGCATTTCCCCAAAGCACCACTCCCAGAAATTCAGAGCCATAGCACAACAGGCCCTGAATCTAAACCTGTCATATACAGCTTCAGGTTTGCAGCATCACGCTGGCTCCAAGAGTCTGATCCAAACAATGTGAAGATGGCCACTGCACCCAAATTCAAACTTCCTACCAGCACAAAAAAAGTCTAGGGTTAAATTCTTTACTGCCAAAGATGACAATTTCCCCAAGTGGGTATTGTTACTTTATAGCCTATATAAAATCTAAGATATTATTAAGTCTGAAAAGATTTCAGTGGTTAACATTTATAGCAAAATCATATAGTCTGGGATCCCTGAAAGCCTATGGTATGACTCTCAGAGGCTTACAAATATTGCTATCAAATGTTATATTTAAGAAAATAGAAGGGGAAATGATTAAAAACATGACTGAAGAATAACTTTAGTAATAATTTTAATGAAATGTTCAATAAAAGTAGACTTGCTTCTTGCTCTGACCTCACCTACTCTGGAGTGGCCCCTAGCTTGCAACTCAAAAGAAAGTATATTAATTTGGGAAGATGTAGTACCTTAAACATGAGTGTCCCAACTTTTGGCTCTCTGTTGTTTAAATATCTAAATGAATTACTATTAAATGCAATGGCACCTCTTGAGTTAATGTTCCCTGCTATAAAGATTAAATAAAAGCTTTAAAAATCCCTAACCCTAACCTCTCCCCCATGCTACCAACTGGAATGAACACTGGCTTACCTGAATGTTCCTTCTCTCCTGTGGCGAAGAGAGTCCAGAGAGTGGGTTGGGTCTTGTCCTCGCTGACTGGACTGAGTCTGCCTAATTGAATTGTAGCCCCACCTTGCGCCATAGGCCACGCCCCGGCTTTCAATGAAGCACTGACTGGACGTAACTATGTATATTCAACGATAAAAAACATACATCATCGCTCCCCCCGACCCACACCCCAGACCAGATGAATAAGGGTGGGGCTGGACTCTCTTTGCCACAGGAGAGAAGGAACATTCAGATAAGCCAATGTTCATTCTCCGCTCTGTGGCTGCGAGAGTCCAAAGAGAGTGGGGCATACCAAAGCTGGACTGTCCCTGGGAGGGCTCAGGTCTGGTCCTACTCACTGTGGTGTCTATGCACGCTCTGTAGAACCCTTCTGCCAAAAGCCGCATCAGCTGACGCGAAAGCATCCAGGCGGTAATGTCTGATGAATGGCGAGGGTGACGACCACGTAGCCACTCGACAGATTTCCTCGATGGGCTCCTGAGTGGCCCATGCTGCTGTCGTTGCTGCACTTCTTGTAGAGTGGGCAGTCACCCCTCAAGGCACTGGAACAGACCTACTTTGATAGGCCCTGGATATGCAGGCACGTATCCACCTGCCCACTGTCGCCGGTGTTACCTTGGAACCCAATGTGTCCAGTTGGAAGGACACAAAAAGTGCCTCTGTCTTACGGATGGCCTGTGTTCTGTGGATGTAAATCTTTAATGCTCTGTAAACATCCAGCTTGTGCCACACCCTTTCTAAGGTGTGCATGGGATTGGGACAAAAAATTGGCAAAATAAGCTCTTGTGCCCTATGGAACCAGGAATTGATTTTGGGTAAAAAGGTGGGATCTAATCTCAGACCAAACCTATCCAGGTGAAGATACAAAGATCTTCCCTAACTGATAGAGCAGCCATCTCAGAAATTCTTCTGGCCGTGGTTATGGCCACTAGAAACGCCACCTTAAGAGATAACATATGCAAACTGATGGATCTGAGAGGTTCAAAGGGAGTGATCGTTAATACTTGTAGTACCTTAGTAACGTCCCAAGTGGGGAACCTATGGACCACTGGAGCTCTAATACTGGATCCTCCCTTTAGGAATCTATGGATAGTTTGGTTGAGAGACAAGGGCCCCTTCTTGTGAACATACAGAAGAGAGGGCCATCACCTGTCTATGAACGGTGTTGGTGGAGAGCCCTCGTTCTAGTCCATCGTGCAGAAATTCCAATACACTGACTATTGAGACAGTAGTGGGAGGAATCCTGGCTTTCTTACACCACTGACAGAAAGTTTTCCAAGTGGCCTCATAAATGAGATTAGTGGAGGGTCTCCTAGATGCTAGAATAGTGTGGATGACCCTCTCAGATATGTTCTGTTGTCTCAGAGCACCCCGCTCAATCGCCATGTGGTCAGTTGAAACCACTGAGGCTCTGGATGTGTTATTTCCCCTTGGTGTAATGATATTATCAACCCATAAAACATTTTGTATACACGTTTTATAGTTGACAACAGAAAGGAGGAGGGGAAGTTTCAAAGAGCAGGCAGCAGTGTGGAATCGAAAGTACATTCCATTCATATTTTCTTCAAAGACTGATTAGATGACTGAAGCTTCTGTCACGCAAAAATCTAATTGGAGAGCACGATTGATGACTCTTGGCTATGGACGTTTTTCATTGGATGATACACCCAGAGGGGTGGGGGGAAAAGCAGGATCAAGGGTGACAGTGAATTACATATCTCAGAGTTGGCTACGCCCAGGTAAATGCCGGACGTAGAATGTTACCTTCAAATAAATCTTTTTTAGTTTTGGGAGTGTGGCTCGAGGCTCATGATTTAATTGGAGTAACTGCTGGAATCCTGACAGATATCTTGGTTGGGGGGAATCCTCCATGGTTTGGTGATGGAGAGATTCACCAGGTCTGCGAACCAGGGGCATCTGGGCCAATAAGAAGCTAGAAGTATGACCTCTGCCTCCTCCTCCAGCACCTTTCTGATGACCGCTGGTAGAAGTGGAAGAGGAGGGAAGGCATACAGGAGGCCCTGAGGCCACCTGCTCCTGAGGGCATTGGTCCCTTCCACCCCCAGGGCCACGAACCTGGTGAAAAACCTGGGTAGTCTGGCATTGCTTGGCGAAGCAAACAGGTCCACTACTGGAAGTCCGAATCTCTGTGTCAGGTCTTGAAATAAAAGAGGGTGAATACTCCACTCTGCGTGGTCAATCCTGGCTACTGAGCCAGTCAGCCTGAACATTGTCCACCCCAGACATATGTTCTGACTTAATTGATAAGAGATTCCTCTCTGCCCAAAGACCCAGGCCTTCTGCTTCCAACATTAAGGACCTGGATCTGGTGCCACCCTGTCTGTTTATATGTGCCTTGGTGCCAATGTTATCCATCAAAACCAGTACATGTCCATGCTGTATAGTGGGTCTAAATTTCTTGAGAGCCAATCTTACTGCTCTCAACTCCAACCAATTGATATTCCTTCTCCGTTCTGAAGCTGACCACTGGCCTTGTGCCAATTGTGACTGAAGATGTGCCCCCCCATCTGGAAAGGCTAGCATCTGTGGTGATGACAAAGCGACAGGGCTCTTTAAAGAGGTGCCCTTCGTTGATTGCATGGGATAACCACCACTTTAAGGACTGCTTTACTGGCCTGGGGACCCTGACCTTACATGAGGAGTGGCTTCTACCTGCCTTTTGGTAAGGCAAGAGAAACCACTGTAGAGTTCTGGAATGTAACCTTGCCCAAGGCACAATGGATATACAACAGACTATCTTGCCCAGAAGTTGGGATAGAAGGGCCAAAGGTGACTTATCTGCCCTTCTAATATTGTCCCCCAGCGCTTGAAGACTATCCTTGCGTTCCTGCAAGAGGAACACTTTGCAAGTGACTGTGTCAATATCTGCTCCCAAATGTAACAGACACCTAGTGGGGATGAAATGACTCTTCTTGTGATTAATTGAAAAGCCGTGGCTCTTGCAAGAGGGAAACCGTCATTTGGAGGTCCCTCAAGGCACTACTCTGCGAGGATGATTGTATTAAAATATCATCCAGGTAGCATTGTACCCTTACTGGGATAGCTCTTAAACAAGCTGCCAATGCAGCTAGTATTTTCATGAAGACCCGAGGGGCAGAAGATAGACCAAAGGGCATAGCCCTGTACTGAAAGTGTCTTCCAGCATAGCTGAAGCGCACAAAATGCCTATGCTCTTGGCAAATCCTGATATGCAGGTATGCTTCTGTAAGATCAATTGAGGTGAGGAAGTCACCCTCCCGAACGCTCTCCAGGATAGATTGCAGTGAATGCATCTTGAACCGCTTGTAGAACAAATATTTATTGAGCCTTTTAAGGTCAAGAATAGCTCGTCACCCCCACCTCCCCGGGGCTTTAGGAATAACAAACAGCTGGAAGTAAAATCCCTTACCCTGTTGACTCAAAGGAACTGTTTGGATGGCTCAAATATCCAGCAGGTGCTGAATAGCCTGGTCCATGAGTTTTCTTCAAGATGCCTCCCTGGATACAGGACAAGGCACATAGAACCTGGGAGGTTGTGATCTAAATTCTACGAAAAAGCCATATCTGATGGTGTCTAGGACCCAAGCGTCAGATGTTGTAGCCTCCCACTGGGTAACAAAACTGGATAATCTGCCCCCAATGGGAGAACTACCACCACAATTAATGGAAGCGACGGAAAAAGTGACTTCCTCCCCCACAAAAGGGCCGCTTGCCTGAGTACTGTGGCCTGTCTTTGGCCGCTCATTCCTGTGGGCGTTCCTGGTGGTTAAAGGCCTACCTCTGCGGACCTTGAGCCCCAGTACTGCCCTCTGCTCTGAAGGTGGATCTACGAGAGTATGGAACTGCCCTGTAACCTGGCCAGAGAGGGGAGGTATTCTTGTCTCTAGTTTCAAGGAGATGGGGATCTAGGACTTCCCCAAACAATTTATCCCCCTAAATTGGGGCAGACGCCACCTTTCATTTGCGCCGCCCATCCACCTGCCAATTTTTCAGCCAGACCATTCCACAGGCAGCTACTGATGTTGCTATGGCTTTGATTGTGAATCTGGCGCTATTTAAGGTGGCATCCGCTGTGAATTCAGCTGCTGCCACGAGCTTGTTGATGTCCTGATGGACCCGGACATCAGTTATAGGGATCCTGTCCTGTAGTTGTTGAAGCCAACGTAAGGAGGCTCTTGTGAAAAAAGATGCAGCTAATGCAGCCTTGACTGCCCAGGCAGCTGCCTGATGCGTATGCTGAAGGGACTGTTCAATTCTTTTGTCCGCTTTCAAGGCTTCCTCTGGATCAGCCGGATTCAAGAAAAATGACACAAGGCCGCTAACGGACTGTCCACTGATGGTACCTGCAGGAATCTAGTAAGCTCAGGACCCATAATGAAGTAACAGCATTCATTAGCTGACAACACGGCCACTGTGCCAGGGGATTCTAATTGTTTTTTGATTACATTTAAAAATAGCCTTGGGGCCGGTACTATCTCAGGCCGTATAGTTGGTTCTGCAAAGAATTGGTCTGGAGGTGCTGGTGTATCTCCCACAATTTCCCCAACATCTGCCTCTGGCCCCAACTGGGCCATATTCCTAGCCTTGAACAATAGGGCCCGGAACTGATGAGATTTGAACAGGCCACAGAAGGCAGGTCTTTCAGGGGTCATGCCCTCATCTTCAGAGAAGTCTGATTCTCTTTTGTCCTATTCAGGGGCTATAGATGGATGGCTATGCAGGGATGGGTCAGGTGAAGCCCTATCCCTCAAGGACTGCCTACTTCTGGGATGGATAGAAATATCCGGGTCTGAAATGATAGACTATTCAGAAGCCACAGATTCAGGCCTTCTCATCACTTGAAGGCTTTCCACAATCCCCTGTCTGATGGCCTTAAAAATAATTGCCTCCATGTGAGGAGGCAATTCCTGTTCTGCAACCTCAGGATCACGTAGGCCCACAGCAGTGGGTGTAAATGTGGCCTCCACCCCTGGTCTAGGCCTCTTAGGGGGTGGTTCCCATGAGTCATCCTGGAAGGCTGCCTGAGGGGCCCTCTCATAATCTCTACCCCCTTCTATTAACTGTGGTTTAGCAGATTGTGATGTCTCATCGGGTGGATCAGGCCTGTAAATGGGCCCTACATGCAGGGGCAGGCCCAGGCTCAATTTGTAATACTGGAGATTGTACAGAGGAAGCTGACTCATCCGGGGGTGGTGATCTGAGGCTCCTCCCCCCAGCAGCACACTGGCTCTTCTCCACCTGCTTTTCCAATGCCTTTTGTCTCCTCATGGCATCCTGTTCTTCTGCCCTGGAAGGCTTTTGGGGTTCAGGAGCCTTTCTTTTCTGCCTGCCCCTTGATCTGCCCCTAGATGAGGAGGGACTATGGCCACCTTCTTTCTGTGCATCCGCCATGATAGCCTGAAGGGTAGGGCAACAGAGCCACACGAGGGAGAGATTGGTTCCGGGGGGGGGGGGGGGGATGAGGGGTTAATTTCACTTTTAAGCCCCTTAAACTTCCCTCTAGGCCCCCCTTGAAGTTAACACAGTCCCTCTTACCTCTAGCCAGCTGGAGCAGGCCACAGAGGCCTATTGCTGGGCTGCAACTATGCCCTGCTGGTCACTCCCTACCTCCAGGCCATGGGCAAACTTTTGGTTACCTGGAAGCAACCTCCACGCCCGAAGCAGCCACAGGATACAACAAAAGGATCTGTGTACAGGTATACTGGCACACCACACAAGACCTCAGCATTGTAACTGCTCCCCAGTGCTGGCAACGTGGCTAATCCTGCGTCTACCAGCTGGGCCTCGGGCCGTTTGCCCATAAAACCATGCTAACTGCTGCCACACGGTTAGCGCTCACCACGATGCAATCGGGCTGATGTGCCCGATCATGTGGCCTGCTGCTCCGCCGTGCCTCCCAGCCTGGTGCCTATTGGGCCGATCACCCGATCTCGCTGCTGCTGCACTGGCGCACCAAACAGCTGAAGGTGTTATTGGGCCAATCGCCCAATGCCTGCAAAACCGCTCCCATGCAGTTGCAGGCCACGCGCTAGGGCCTCCGGCCTGAGCATTCACTACCTGGGCAGGGGTTGCTCAGAACACACACACACACACACACACACACACCAGCTTCTGGCTGTCCTGAAGGACTTTGGCCCATGGCTCTTCGCTATGTTTGCAAATTTTTTCCTTTTCTTTGAAAAAAGGCCTCCACTTCCTTTTAGAAGTGGAGCTCCAGAAATCACGTCCATCCTGGCTGGGACTGAGTCGAAAACTGGGGCGTACGGCGCAAGGCAGAGCTACAATTCAATTAGGCAGAGTCAGTCCAATCAGGGAGGACAAGAGCCAATCCAGTCTTTCTGGACTCTCGCAGCCACAGAGAGGAAAACAATAAGTATCCATCCAGGAACAAGAACTGCTATAGAATTGTGTCCCTTGTGATAGAAAGTACTGAAGACAACAGGGCAGGGACTTGGAAAAGTGGTGGGTAGGTCAATTGGAAGCTCAGCAGCAAAGCACTGGCAGGGAGATTGGTGGGAAGGGGGAAGGTTGGGAAAAATGGAGGGGACAATGAAGTTCACTGGAAAGACTGGGAGAAAGGGAGGCCAGCAAGCAGATCAGCAGAAAAGTACTGTAAAATCGGGATTAGGAAAGCCTCCTTTGTGGCTGCACCTGCCCTGTAGAACAGCTTCCTACTGCAGATTCCGATGGCCCTAACCCTGTTAGCCTTTTGTAGGGCTCTGAAGACCCATCTGTTCTTCAAGGCTTTTGGGGGGGGGGGGGCAGTTAGGTGAGCTTGGTTGGGGTTCGTGATATGGTTCTGTTTTGGAACTTATTAATTGGGGCATCATGAGTTTGTATTGTTTTAGTGGTTTGTACTATTTATTTATTTATTTAACATATGGTGATGTTAAAATTAGCCAGCAGACTACAATGTCAGTACAAAGTAGTTATTTGGCTGCTGAAGAGTGCTAGTTTGTTTAGTTCACGTTGACACACTTATCCAATGGTGCACCACAGGGGGCGAACTAGCTCCACATTAGAAAGATGAGCAGTGTCCTGCAGCGACATCTCTCACCACTTGCCTCACAGTCAGGCATCGTATCCGGGCAGCTCTAGCACTGACAGGGGTCTGACAGTCCGCATGAAATGCTGCCACATTTCCCACCAAAGTGGTACCTATTTATATACTCACATGTAGAATGCTTTCTAACTGCTAGGTGGGAAGAAGCTGAGGCAAGTGATTGGCACTCACTCTGCCACACGGTGCTAGGAATTGAGACCATCTTCAGCGACTTTAAGCCACTGAGCTGCTACGCCTCAATAATAGTTTGTACTGCTATGATGGGACTCTGTACATCACAGAATCACTGCTGTAAGATGAGCAGCTCTATCCATCAAATAAAAGCTAGGAAGAGTGGAGATGTAGGCCAGCAGAAAAACTGGTGGGAAGGAGTTTTCCTTAGCTTCCATTTGCAATGCAACAGGGCACTTCAGGCTGTATACTTTTAGACACGTGCAAAATAGCAATCTGACTTTTTATGTATGCATAAGAGTACCTTTCAGATTTAATAGTCATTGAGGCTTAACAAACACCTCTTCTTCCTGACTGGTAGGTTAAATAAAAAATTTTTAAAGTTCCTGAACATTTAAAAAGAACATATTTTGGCAGGTAATAAAACCAGAACACAAGTACAGAAGAGTACAGTCTATCTTAAGTGACCTTTGTTCAAAACCACTGCTGAATTGAAGATAAGTACCCAATGGGCCTTTGCTAGATGGAACCCCTACCTCTGGTTCAGACTGGACCTCCATTTTAGGTTGAGTCATGGGCATAACTGCTCTAGGCTTGGTCTCGGTCCTTCCCAGTTGCTTCTTGACACCTGTAACAGGCCTTGTAACAGGTGTTGTACTAGTAATAGGTTTCACTTGAGCAGCAGGAGCTGAAGTTAGTTGGTTGTTAGCAGCCTCAATAGAATGCAAAGGTGCTATTGGCAATTCACGCAAATTACTATTCCTTGGGGTAGATGACTGCAGCTGCTGGTTTGGACGTTTTACAATGATTTGCGTTGGTGTGTTCTGTAAGAAAAAAAGTTATTAAAAACTTATCCTGTAACAAGTATCTCAAACAAGTCAAAATTCAGGGTTCCTCAATAGAGCAGAATTGATGGCAATGCAACCTTCCCCCTCTAGTAAGGAAAGCTAAGAGATCCATTTGGCTAAATTACATGAAACAGCTCTACTACACCCCTGCCCCACTCCTGTCCTCAAGTTAACTAGCCAGAAAGAACTTTGCTAGAGACATTTTATCTCAAGATCTGTCTGGGGGAAGGAAAAGACTTCCCTGTTCCAAGTAATATGGAATGAGAAATTTCCAGAACTCAGCAAAGAATCAATGACATCCAGAGTTTCAGGATCAGTTATAAGTAATCAGTTGGACTGGGTTACAAGCTTTGATTTTATTTTCAATGTGCTCAAACTCTAGACTCTTATTAGCAAAAACCTAATGGCAAAAACCACTAGATAACCAATCATATAAGGTGGTAGGGAGTAAAGAGAAAGAAGAAAAAAAGGAAAAACACAATGAAGTAGAATGTGATGGCAAAGCTGGAAAACCCAGTTACAAAGTTGGAGATATAAGAAACACACCTAAGATCCATAGAGGACTCAAGTGCCTATACACGAACGCTCAAAGTTTAGGGAACAAACAGGGTGAACCTGAAGTATTAGTACATGAAGGCAGATATGATATAGTTGCCATTACTGAAACTTGGTGGGATGAAACTTATGACTGGAATGTACTGATGGAAGGATACAAACTATTCAAAAGAAACAGACCTAACAAAAGAGGTGGAGTTGCATTATATATAAAAGATCACTACATCTCTACAGAAATCCACAAAACCAAGGATGAAAACCTCCTAGAATCCATACGGGTCAACATAAAAGGAAAAAAGAATGACATTGCTATAAGGCGTATACTACAGGCCACCCAACCAAGCAGAAGAAATAGATAAACTTTTTGCTAAACAACTAACAAAGGTATGTAGGAAACATACCACAGTAGTTAATGGGAGACTTTTAACTACCCTGATATCAACTGGGAGACAAACTCTGTAGCAAGTGGGAGATCAAACAGATTCCGAACCAACCTAGCTGACAACTTTGTCCTCCAAAAGGCAGAGGAGGGTACTAGCAGAAAAGCTATACTGGACATAATTCTTACTAATAGAGAAGAAGTTATAGAGGGAGTTGAAGTTGCCAGAATTTTGGGCGAGAGTGACCATGTCATATTGGAATTCAATATAATGCAAACACAAGCAATAGAACATAATCCAATCAGTGTCTTAAAACTTTAAAAGAGATGATTTTAACAAACTCAGAGAGAGCCTAAGCAAAGTTCCATGGATGAAAATCCTTAAGGGGAAAATTTCTCAAGAAGCATGGGAAACTGAAAAATATGGTCATAAAAGCCCAGTCCAACACAATACCACTGAAAAACAAATAATCCAAGAAGAAACCAGCATGGTTGCACAAAGATCTCTCTGATAAACTGAAAGACAAATAGGACAAGTACAAAAAATGGAAAGAGGGACATATAACTAAGGCAGAGTATCAGCAGATAGCCCAAATCTGCAAACATGAAATCAAAAGGCTCAGAATAAATGAAGACTTGCAACAAAAGTGAAAGATAATTTTTAAAGTTTCTTTCAACATATAAACAACAAGAAAAAGTCAAGGAAACAGTAGGTCCACTTGAGAGAGAAGATGGTGAGGAAGTAAAAGGCAGCAGAGAGAAAGCAGAACTGCTTAACTCATTCTTTACATCGGTCTTCACCCAAAAAGAAACTATAGCTCAACCCACCAAAAACATAACTGTAAAAGACAGACCAGAAATAAAAGTTAGAATAAGCAAAAAAATAGTAAGAGAACACCTGTCTGATCTTGATGAACACAAATCACCGGGGCCTGATGGATTACATCCCAGATTTTTAAAGGAGCTGGCAGAGGTCATCTCAGAACCACTGCATCATATCTTTCAAAAATCCTGGAGCACCGGGGAACTACCAGAGGACTGGAAAAGAGATGATGTGGTTCCCATCTTCAGAAAAGGAAAAAAACCAGACCCAGGAAACTACAGACCAATCAGCCTAACATCAATACCCAGGAAGATACTGGAAAAGATAATAAAAAACAGATCTGCCAACATCTAGAAACAAGTAAAGTAATAACTAGCCGTCAGTACGGGTTTGTTAAGAACAGATCACGCCAAACCAATCTTATTTCATTCTTCAACATAGTGATTAAATTAGAAGACCAACAAAATGCTGTGGACATAATATACTTAGACTTCAGCAAGGCATTTGACAGAGTAGCCCACAACCTACTTATTGGTAAGCTAGAAAAATTTGTAACTTGCTGTAGTCCTTAATGGTACTACATCTACTTGGAGGGAAGTAAGCAGTGGGGTACCACAAGGTTCCATCTTAGGCCCGGTACTCTTCAATATCTTCAAAAATGACTTAGATGAGGGAATAGAAGGGGAACTCATCAAATTTGCAGATGACACTAAGCTAGCAGGAATAGCCAACACCCCAGAAGACAAGCTCAAGATCCAAAAATATCTTGACAGACTTGAACAATGGGCCCTATCGAACATGAAATTTAATGTGGAGAAAAGCAAGGTTTTACACTTAGGCAGGGAAAACCAAAGGTACAAGTAAAGATTAGGTGAAACCTGGCTCAAAAACAGTAACTGTGAGAGGGACCTTGGAGTGCTAGTGGACAATCACTTAAATATTAGTGAAGTGTTAGTACTGCTTTATAAAGAAGGACTAGGGATGACACAATAGGAATATTTCAGTATTTGAGAGGTTGCTACAAAGAAGAGGGGGTTAACTTATTTTCCAAAGCACTGGAAGGCAAGACAAGAAACAATGGATGGAAACTAATCAAGGAGAGAAGCAGCCTGGAATTAAGGAGAAACTTCCTAACAGTGAGAACAATTTACCCGTGGAACAGCTTGCCATCAGAAGTTGTGGGTGCTTCATCATTGGAGGTTTTTAAGAAGAGACAGTCACTTGTCTGAAATGGTATATGGTCTCCTGCTTGAGCAGGGGGCTGGACTAGAAGACCTCTAAGGTCCCTTCCAGCTCTGTTCTGATTGTTTATAGTTTCACAACTATTATTTCAGTAGGCTCAGTCGCCATTTCAGATGAGCTTACCTTATTATTACTTTATTTAAACATACTATTTTTTGTGATGCTCATCCATGCTTTTCTTTGCGACTACAGGTGAAATTTGAAAAATTAGAATATCGTGCAAAAGTTCATTTATTTCAGTAATGCAACTTAAAAGGTGAACCTAATATATGAGATAGACTCATTACATGCAAAGCAAGATAGTTCAAGCTGTGATGTGTCATAATTGAGAAGATTATGGCTTACAGCTCATGAAAACCTCAAATCCACAATCTCAGAAAATTAGAATATTGTGAAAAGGTTCAATATTCTAGGCTCAAAGTGTCCCACTCTAATCAGCTAATTAAGCCATAACACCTGCAAAGGGTTCCTGAGCCTTTAAACGGTCTCTCAGTCTGGTTCATTAGGAATCACAATCATGGGAAAGACTGCTGACCTGACAGTTGTGCAGAAAACCATCATTGACACCCTCCATAAGGAGGGAAAGCCTCAAAAGGTAATTGCAAAAGAAGTTGGATGTTCCCAAAGTACTGTATCAAAGCACATTAATAGAAAGTTATGTGGAAGGGAAAAGTGTGGAAGAAAAAGGTGCACAAGCAGCAGGGATGACCACAGCCTGGAGAAGATTGTCAGGAAAAGGCCATTCAAAAGTGTTGGGGACTTTCACAAGGAGTGGACTGAGGCTGGAGTCAGTGCATCAAGAGCCACCACACAGACGGATCCTGGACATGGGCTTCAAATGTCGTATTCCTCTTGTCAAGCCGCTCCTGAACAACAAACAACGTCAGAAGTGTCTTACCTGGGCTAAAGAAAAACAGAACTGGTCTGTTGCTCAGTGGTCCAAAGTCCTCTTTTCTGACGAGAGCAACTTTTGCATCTCATTTGGAAACCAAGGACCCAGAGTCTGGAGGAAGAATGGAGAGGCACACACTGCAAGATGCTTGAAGTCCAGTGTAAAGTTTCCAGTCTGTGTTGATTTGGGGAGCCATGTCATCTGCTGGTGTTGGTCCACTGTGCTTCATTAAGTCCAGGGTCAACGCAGCCGTCTACCAGCAGATTTTCGAGCACTTCATGCTTCCTTCCACAGATGAACATTATGGGGATGCTCACTTCATTTTCCAGCAGGGCATAGCACCTGCTCACACTGCCAAAAGCACCAAACCCTGGTTCTATGACCGTGGGATTACTGTGCTTGATTGGCCAGCAAACTCGCCTGACCTGAACCCCATAGAGAATCTTTGGGGCATTGCCAAGAGAAAGATGAGAAACATGAGACCGAACAATGCAGAACAGCTGAAGGCCGCTATTGAAGCATCCTGGTCTTCCATAACACCTCAGCAGTGCCACAGGCTGATAGCTTCCATGCCACGCCGCATTGAGGCAGTAATTGCTGCAAAAGGGGCCCAAACCAAGTACTGAGTACATATGCATGCTTATATTTTTCACAGGTCCGATATTGTTCTTTGTACAATCCTTGTTTTATTGATTGCATGTAATATTCTCATTTTCTGAGATTGTGGATTTGAGGTTTTCATGAGCTGTAAGCCATAATCATCTCAATTATGACACATCATGGCTTGAACTATCTTGCTTTGCATGTAATGAGTCTGTCTCATATATTAGGTTCACCTTTTAAGTTGCATTACTGAAATAAATGAACTTTTTCACGATATTCTAATTTTTCGAGTTTTACCTGTATGTGTTTTCTAATAAATACTGTAAGTACTTTGGGTGTCAGTTTATGTGTTGGGAATTATGTGGTATAACCCCCTTCAGGTAAACTACAGCTTTGTAAATTAAAAGCTGCTCCTTTTAAACTGCCTTTGTGTTTTCTTTTATTATTAGAAAGAGGAAGACATTTTCTTTCTTTCAACCTTACTCATGACTCCCTGGGGGAGGGGGTTGGCAAACTACCAGTGAAAGCAACCCCAGCTCCTTTCTTTCCAGGCTATCATATTTGGGTGGGGCAGGTCTAGTGGTGGGATAAATGAGACACTGCTTACACCTCCTGATATTACTGAACTCATAATCCATGGTAACAGTATGTAATATGTAGCTCTTTATAAACTACTTATTTCCAGCTCCTAGTATCTTTCACTTGACAGTCTCACTCAACTCAAAGACAACCACTTATCTATATGGTGGTAGCTTGATTCCATTCCATACCAATCTAATATGTCAACAGATGAATGAATGGGAGTCATATTAAAATATAGTTCACAAGGGATATAGAAGGGAATGTTGGATGAGAAAAGAAAGGCAATTATCCTCAAGAACAATTTGCAGTGGTTAAGAGAGTGGACAAGGGCCAAGGGATCTTAGTTCAATCATCATAACTGGACAACTTTCTCAGTCTAATTTATCCGAAAGAGTTCATCTGGTATAACTATAATTTGTATACTGCATAGAGTTTGGGTATCTGAGAGACCAGTGGTCTCCAATAGTTTCTGCCCGCCCAGTAGGTACTGGCACAGTGGGTGTGCTCCAGATCCCCTCTATTAAAACTTGTCATTGTGTGGGACCAAGGAAGCTTGCCTTCGCTGTTGGGGGCCCCACCCTCTGGAACAACATCCTCCCAGAGATAAGGACAGTGCCCTCTCCTAGGCTTCTAGAAAGCTTTGAAAATCTGGCTTTGGTCCCATGATTATGATTTGTCTAAGGCCCCTGTTTTACCTTGCTGTTTATTAGATTATTTTGATCTGGGCTGCCCATCTTGACACAGTGGGCATCTCAAAAACCTGGCATTTTAACAGGAGTGTGCAGACTTTTGATATCCATTGTATAAAGTTTTTTGCTGCTTTTATGCCCCACCCTACTTTCATATACCACCCAAAGTCCATTGGAGTTGGGCAGCCAATACATTTAAATAAGTAACAACTTAGCAGACAGCCCCAGCGCTACTTCCTGCAAACTTCCAGAGGAAAAGTGGGATAAAAATAATAAAGGTGGGATATAAATATTAAAAATGAAAATGCTATGCAGATTCTAGCCACCTAGAGTCTATTAATTTGGTGGGGGAGAAAAGATGAAATAAATAAATACAAACAGAGGGAGTAGATGCGGTAAGTAGTAAGAGAGATCAGAACTTACACCTTTTGAAGGATGACTGTTCGGGTCTTGCCCCTGCCCAATAAGAACCCATGTTTTTTACTGTATGGAAAGGACACTTACATGCCTGGCCTTTACCAGACCTTGCCGTTGCTGGCACTGCATCCAGTTGCCACTCGGCTGTTGCTGTGAAGTCTGCAGGTGCAGCCTGAACTGGGATGGGGCCACCGGAATCAGAGGCTGGGGAGGCACAGGCAGAAGGTGATGGTGGTGGTGGGACTGGTGCGTCTGGTGGTGAGGCTGGGGTGGTTGGGGGTGCTGCTGGGACGTCTGTGGATGTTGTTGTGGTGGTGGCTGTGGATGCTGTGGATGCATAGGAGGGTGCAAATGACCCTGTACATTTGAAAACATGGCAGTTGTGAGGTCAGACTTGTTCCCTGACTGCAAGACAGAATCAGCACTTAACAAGGAAACAAAAAGTCTCTAACAGAAAGTAAGGTTGTTCAGAAATTGGGAGCTGAAGACAAAAACATGCTTTGGCACATGTGGCAGCTGACTGCAACTTTTTAAATAAAAAATACATTTTCCTCGGATTAGACAGCAGCAGAATCTTGGTAATCCAGGACAAAGACATTAGAGGTAGTAATTGACTTACAACCATTTGCTTAGCAACCATTTGAAGTTACAACAGCACTGAAAAAGTGATTTATGACTGGTTCTTAAACTTATGACCATCGCAGCATTCCCCACAATCATGTAATCAAAATTCAGGTGCTTGACAAATGGCAAGTATTTAAGACAGTTGCAGAATCCTGGGGTCATGTGACCATTTGTGTCCTTCCCAGCCAACTTCCAACAAGCAAGGTCAATGGGGAAGCTGGATTTGCTTAACAACTGTGTGATTCATGTAACAACTGCAGTAATTTGCTTAACAACTGTGGGAAAAATGGTCCTAAAACCAGGCATGATTCACTTAACAACCACCTTGCTTAGCAATGGAAATTTTGGGCCAGTTGTGGTTGTTAAGTCAAGGACTACCTGTACTGTCTACTTTAAAGTTTGAACCTGTTTGCTCTGACCAACTTTCAATCTTCATATTTAAAGAACTGCATAGCCCATTTCCCACCAAGTTCTAATCTGATAAATTCAATTAACCTAAGGGATTTCCTGCATGAAGGTATTATACAGTACTAGCACTCCTCCTTTTTGGGGTGAAGGTGAAGATCACAACTGGAATTTGAATGCTTTTGATTGTTAATAAAATACAGAATCTTTCTAAAATATGCTTCAGCAAATAAATTACTAAAAGCTGGTGTTTGTTATTCAAGTTTTCATAGAAGAAAGCAAAGCACCAAGAGAGGGAGCGCTAAGCCTTGTAGTGTTCCAGACCTAATGTTTTTAGATGCATGATTAAGTGACTCATAGTACAGAAACTTGTTTTCACGAACTAGACTTCAATATCTCTCCTGGAGTAAATCAATTTAGGAAACCAAGGAATATGAAACAGAATGCCATGTTACAAACATTTCTAATCCCATTAGGTCTGTGAACAGCTTCACAAAAATCAACACTTTTTAATGTCTTCACTTTGAAGCAGCTAGCCCTTATAATTCAATTAGTGCTGGCCACTAATGAGAATAATGCTGTTATGCTTGGCACAATAATAAAAAGGCAGGTTTAAATTGCTTCAAATGCTAAGCATTCAAGCTCTGTTTACAACGGAGCTTCTCTCAGCATTCTGCTTAAGCAATGTACCGTATTTTTCAGAGTATAAGATGCTCTGAAGTGTAAGACGCACCTAGCTTTTGGGGAGGAAAACAAGAGGCCTCTGCCTCCCAGCAATGTGCCTCCTTGCAGCAAACAGCCTGTTTCAGCTTCAGCACAGCCTGGTTAGCACAAGCAGCTGATTGTTGGTTGGATCAGTCTCCTGACAATCAGCTGTTTCAGGCTGCAGGGATTGTCACTGCCGATTGCCATCTCCACATGCCCCATTTTTGGCCTCCGCATCCCATTTTCAGCCTCCACGTGCCCCGTTTTTGGCCTCCGTGTGCCCCATTTTCGCCCCCGTTCTGGGCAGCAGGGATCAGGGCGCACGGAGGATGTAAATGGGGCACGCGGAGGCAGAAAATGGGATGCGGAGGCTGAAAATGGGGCACGTGGAGGCGGCAATAGGCAATGGCAATTCCTGAAGCCTAAAACAGCTGATTGTTGTCGGAAGGCCAATCCAACTGACGATCAGCTGCTTATGCTAATTAAGCTGTGCTGAAGCTGAAACAGGCTGTTTGCTGTTTGCTGCAAGGAGGCAAATTGCTGGGAGGCAGAGGCCAAAGTTTGGGGGCCGGTGGGTGGACAGGGCTTCGGCAACATTCACTGTGTAAGACCGCACAGACATTTCCACCCACTTTTGGGGGTGGAAAAAGTGTGTCTTATAGTCCAAAAAATATAGTATGTTCTGAGCTAAGACTAAATGTAATAACCTGTAATAGTTCCACTGTCAAGCCCGAAATTGACATAAGTGTAGCCATTTTAGTTAGTCTTAGTATATATTCTTTTTCTTACTTTCTCTGTGGCAGTCATGGAGGGAAAGGGTTTTGGGCTTGCCACATTCCTAAGTGGGGAGGAGTGGAGATAAAGAGAGTTGTTTTGGCTAGGTGATCTTTCTTCCCGTGGGAAACAAGGTGACCCTGCTTGGGCCCCTTGAGGTGGAGATTTATGACATCAAGCAACGTTGAAATACTTCTATTGGAGAATGTGACTTTTGGGGGTTGTTTCTAACTTGTAATATTGTGGGGTAAATCCGGGTTGTGTCAGATCTGGAATTACCATGGACTTTGCCAATTTGATGCTTTCCTAAATAAAAGAAATCTTTTTTGAAGATGGACTTTGTTCTTTTCTTTTTAAATGGATTTCATCACTTGGAAACCTGACATCCACACACACAAATGGCACATTCCCAATAGGTTGAGACTACAACTCCCAGAATCCCTTTAACAGCATAACTATGTTAGGTCAGTCAATATCCACAATTCACTTTACTCTTAGCCTGAAATAGAAAATAAATTACTGTTTTACATATAAGAGGGTTTGGTAGTAGAGCCAAAAAGGCACAGTAAAAATTAGTTATATTCTCTCAAGTAGGATAGTCACCATCGGGGTTTTTTTAAGTAACTGCAAATAGCAGATCTGTATTACTATCTGAAATCATGCTTCTGCAAAAAGGGAACAATGAGGAGGAACAACTGTACTGGAGGACCTACACAGACTCTGAAAGTTCAGGCTACAATGGTCATAGGAGCACTTGACAGAGAGGAGGGCTGTCCTGATCATTACATACCTGCATGCCGGCTTGGGTGAGAGGGGTTAAGAACGGCTGCCCTGGTACCTGCAGGAAGGACTGCCTTGGGGGAAGAAAAGGCCGTGCATTGGCTGCTCCAGGCTGGCTGAAGTGAAGGATTCCCATAGGGCCCTGAGGCTGCAGATTTGGCCTTACCAGCCTTTCTCTTGGAAACATTGGTTGCTGCCCCTGCTGGCTGAAACCTGGTCCAGGCTGGCTGAATGGGAGTGGGTTTTGGCTGGGCACAGGATGCATACTGTTAAGAAGGGAGGGCAGCTGTGGAGGGGGGCTCCGCTGCTCAAACAAGTGATGGCTGGGAAATCTCAGCTCTGTTGGAAAAATCAAAATGAGAGGGCATGAAACCAAACCATCTGCCAAGCAAAATACCAGTTTTGGCCCAAACCTACTGGAAATAAGTCTCATGGAGAATTGCCAGGATCATGTCCAACAATTTCTTCAATTAGCCCAATACTCTCTACTCCAACTAGAAGTCACCAGTTCTGTAGATAAATGTAGTAGTAGGAGTGGTAGAACCTGGGGGCAGAGTTAAAAGAGGGAACAGCCTAGAATCCCTACATAGCTACAAGTGAACTAAATTTAACCTCCCTTGAATTCCATTGAGCCTTATCTAACTCCAAGCAGGTGTTAAACTTGAGAAGATTCCTGTACACAGGAATGTTTAGCAATAAATCAGTTTAATTGGACCTTCACATGTAGACCTGACAATAATCATTCTGTGGTTAGTGCATCACTTTCTGAAACTTTTCTGTGGTAAGGATGCATTAAGCAAGGTAAACAGTGTATAGGAAAGGGCTGGAGTAACAGTCATGTTGCTTCAGCAGTATGTATGTAATTGGTAAGTGCTGGACTTCAAACAAAGGAAGACAGGACAATTTTTGGATTGGCCAAATGATGATTCTGGCTTCATAGTTCATGCCCAATCCCCTCCCTGAGAACCAAGGAAAAGTTCTCTTTCCACTGGTAAGACAATGGCCATACCTCCCATGAAGAAAGGTTCTCTCTCCTGCGGAGGTGGGGGCGGAAGAGGGGGCGGTGGCCCTCGCCACTGGTCTTGGAGGGAAAGTCGTGGGGCCTGGTTGAAATTGGTAGGAACAGGTTCAGGAGGGTTTTGTTGAAAATCTGGAGGGCCCTGCAGGATAAAAAAAGGTGGGATGAGGGAGAAATGAGGTACAATTCTTCCTGTAGCATTTTGTCATTAGTCCATTTACTTTTGGAAGAAAATGTCTAATAGATGAAAGTATCTATTTATAATCTGCACAAATGGCCACCATCTTTTGTTGTGACTGTGAACCCAGATTCTAAGGACAACATGTTTACAGGGAACTCAAAATGTTTTAATAATCACAGCAGCCCTGCAAGAATGCTATGACAAACTACTCCTAACTACAATACTTGAATACAGCTCATCAGTCTGGAACCCACATTACATATCTGATATTAACACAGTTGAGAAAGTCCAGAAATATTTCACAAGAAGAGTTCTCCACTCCTCTACTCGTTGCAGAATACTTATGCCACCAGACTTGAAATTCTAGACCTAGAAAACCTAGAACTACGCCGCCTTCAGTCCGATCTAAGTATAGTATATAAAATCATACATTGCAATGTCCTACCTGTCAATGAATACTTCAGCTTCAACCATAACAATACAAGAGCACACAATAGATACAAACTCAAGGTAAACCGCACCAAACTTGATTGCAGGAAATACGACTTCAGCAACAGAGTGGTCAATGTCTGGAATACTCTACCGGACTCTGTGGTTTCTTCCCCAAACCCCAAAAACTTTAACCTTAGACTGTCTATGATTGACCTCACGCCTTTCCTAAGAGGTCTGTAGGGGGCGTGCATAAGCACACCAAGTGCCTACCATCCCTGTCCTATTGTTTCTTTTTATTTTTCTTATATGTATCCATTTCATGTATTCATAATTATGTTTATACCTATTATCTTGTAAGTGATTGACATATCAAATAAATAAATAAATAAATAAATAAATGAATGAATGAATGAATGAATGAATGAATGAATAAATAAATAAATGCCATTTCTTTTCGAGCTTACTGAAATCCATACAATTATTGAACTTCTATCCCATTGATCCCAAAGTATGAATGTCTACTTTATGCTCCCGACACTTTTAAAACCATGATATTTATTTGCTGTTTAATACAGCCTAAGCCTAAGCAACTAGAAATGAAGCTACTTTAATTTTCTGGTGTCTAACAATGATCCCTCACCCACTTCGTACACATATGCACACGCATATATGTGCTTATTTCAATAAGAAATACAACATTTGATGCCTACATTATCCTAAGTATCTAAGCAGCTGAGATATTCATTATAAAAAAGTATGAAAAATTAACTTAGATATCCTACTCTTCATTTTAAATGATTACAGACAGATATCTAGCTATTTCATCAACAGTAAGGGGTGAAACTGTTTAAAATGTAAGCTCCATAATTCATTTTCTCCTCTGTAACAACACAATGACAAAATGTACTTCTGTCAATTAAAAAGACAAGGGCTTCTTAAGACCCAAATGCTTATTAGCTAAGCTAACAGAAAGTGACAATAATTATCATTCTTATACCCAAAATAAAAATTATTAAGTTAGAAACATTTGCCAGTTTCTATTCCCACTGATACTTCACGTCATCATCACCACCACCATCATCATTCAAGAACCAGTTGAACAAAACAGTTGTCCAGCTAACTTGCATACTTGCTATTGTAATGCCACTCCCTGGATAGTGGAGTCTTATTTTATGTTAATGATTGCTTCATATGCATATAAATGTGAATGCTTTGATTAGTATGTTATAGGATAAGGACCATAACATCTTAGCCACGTATAGAGTCCTCAATTTACAACCATTCGTTTAGTGACTGTTTGAAGTTACAACAGCACTGAAAAAAGTGACTTATTGTTTTTCACGCATACAACCATTGTAACACATCGTGGTCATGTGATCAAAATTCAGGTGCTTGGCAACTGGTACATATTTGTAACAGTTGCACTGTCCTGGGAATCACATGTTCACAATTTGTAACCTTCCCAGCTGGCTTCCACCAAGTGAAGTCAATGGGGGAAGACAGATTCGCTTAATGACATGATTCACTTAACAACTGTGACAAAAAAGTTGTAAAATGAGGCATAACTCACTTAACAACTGCCTCACTTAGCAACATAAATTTTGGGCTAAATTGTGGCCGTAAGTCAAGGACTACCTGTACTTAAGTATGTAAGATTTGCCATGTTCTGTAACACTGAACTAGTAAAGTATACTTTCCCTCAAGTGACTCAATGGAATCCCTTTGGAAAGCAGGAAGCCTCCTCCCAACAAAATTTGCTCAGTCACTCATGCCCTTGTGACCTCTCATCTGGATTACTGCAGAATATGGCTACATGGGTACTAAATGGTGTTGGATATTCAACATGTGTAACACCACTACTGCATGAGCTGCCCTGGATGCCAGTGTGTTTCTGGGTGCAATCCAAGGTCCTGGTTGTCACCTTTAAAGTCCTTCATGGCTTGGAACCAGGTTACCAAAGGACCACCTTATCCCAGCTGTTTCTACTCATCCAATTCAGTCCAGCAGGTTTTTTTTGTTTATTCAATTTCTAAAGCTGCCCATCTCAGTCAATGTCTGGGAAGCTTACAATTCAAAAAATATATTACAGTCAAAATACGAAAAACATTTGAAAACAGTAAAAACAATAGAAACCTCCAAACTAAATAGCAATAGCATTTAGATTTATATACCGCTTCACAGTGCTTTACAAACCTTCCTCTAAGTCAGGGGTGTCAAACACAAGGTGCGTGGGCCACATCCGGCCCACGATGTGGTTAGATCCGGCCCCTAGGGCCATCCTGGAAAATGTAAGGGGCCAGCCCGCGTCGCTTCGGCCCGGTCTACCCAATGTGAAGAGCAAACATGCCAGCAGTTTGGGGAGTTGGCGTCAAGCTGACCACGCCCAGCCAGTCAGCCATGCTCGCCCACCCACACCCGCCCAGCCCTGCGAGTTCAACCACAGCCCTGATGCAGCTCTCAATGAAATTGAGTTTGACAACCCTGGTCTAAGTGGTTTAGAGTCAGCATATTGTCCCCAACAATCTGGGTCCTCATTTTACTGACCTCGGAAGAATGGAAGGCTGAGTCAACCTTGAGCCAGTGAGAATTCAACTGCTGGCAGTCAGCAGAATTAGCCTGCAATATTGCATTCTAACCAATGTGCCATCATGGATCGTTACAGACAAAGAAGAGAACAACAAATGAAGCAACATTGTCATTCCAAACATTGCATGAATATCTGAAAAGCTCAGGATTTTCAACCAACGCAATATACATACAAACTTTAAACCCCAAAATAAACTAAGGTAGAAGCTTGAAGATATTTGACCAGTTAGCAATACAGCCAGTAATTGAGGGCCTTAACACATTCAACACCCCAGGCTCAGGAACATAGCCAGGTTTTTAGGGCGTTACAAAGGCTAACAGGGTTGGGGCCATGTTGGGCATGTGATGAGACCTGTCAGGTAAGGAATGTAAGCTGGTGGGGACTTGGAGACGTGCCTTCTCTGCCCTAGCCGCTGCCCTCTGGAACATTCTCCAACCCTCTTAGACTTTCATAGGCCACGAAGACCTGGTTATATGCCTGGTTATTTTTCACATTTTTGAAGCACCCATCTCTCTCAAAGAGGGACTTTTTTATTTGGCAACCATATATATATATTCTATATTGTTTTTTAATTGTTTTATGTTTTTATATATATTTTTTATTTTATTTCCAAAATTAAAATACAAACTCCCCCCCCCACACAAAAAAAAGAACAAACCTATGAACAAAACAAGTCTATGTCCAAGACAGCGTGCCATCCAAAGTTGCCACAACGCACCATTTTGGAGGTGTCACACACGTGCAGGGGGAGGGGGGTTCATGGGGTGCACAAGTGGGTGTTGGGTGATGGGACTCATGCTGGGACAGGTCTGGAAGAACGAGGAGCCAGGAAGACAAGCCAGCTGCGGTCGGTTCAGAAGCCATCCAGGCCCGAAGAGTACTTGCTGGAGCCAGCCAGGGAGCAACTGGGAACAGGAGGGCGGGGCACGCTGGGGTGTGCTAAGTCCATATAGCCAGCTGGCTAGCAGAAGCCAGTAATGCTGGCTTGAAACCCTTTTATTTGTATTGTTCACCACGTGCCGAGCAGAGACTCCAGTAAAGAGACCCGTTCTGCTCACAGTGTGGCCTCTTCTTTTGCTGGCTTGTCTTGGAACCATGACAGGTAGCCTGCATTCCCCACCCTCTTTCTTTTGTGTTCTGGGCTGCGAGCTGCTTCCAGCCTGCTCGTAGGCTTCTGCGTGCTGATTCTAGTCAGTTTTGTTGTCAGCTGTTTGTCAGCTTGTTCAGAATCAGCTGTTTGTCGGGGCGGCTTGCTGATTCCGGAGGCAGCTACGTGTCGGTGCCAACCGGTGGGATGGCTTTAGAACCAGCAAAGGAGACCGACGTGGGAATGGCAGAGGGGGTCACAGCCCATGTGGGCAAACCCCTGGAGCCGGCTGCTGGGGCTACCCAGCCAGGGGCACGTCACAAGGAGCAGGAGGGCCACCAGTCTGGCCCACATGATCAAGAGGAGACAGCCACATTAGAAGGTTCAGCAACACAGGCTGCTGGAAAGCAGTGGAAAAACTCCACAGCTGCTGCTGAGACTGGGGCTCAACTACCGACTCCAAGCTTCCCAGGCTTGGAGAATGAAAGAATGGTGGGAGGGGAAGGTAACAGACAATGATGAGGAGGCAGACTGGAGTTATTCAACCATGTCAGGAAGTCAGACAATGGAACTGCTACGAGACTGCCTGGTTGAGGCCAGCCGTAGGGACACCGGGGATGGTCATCAAGGCTATCATCGAGGCTCCACCTGGACACAAGTGACAGCAGATCCCAAGGGCCCCAGATTGGGGGGGGGGGAGTGACAGCAGGGTTCGCCTTAGTGGAATCGGGGCGGCAAGAACTGACGACCGGGGGGGGGGGGGGGCGGGGGGGGGGGGGGGGGGGGGTGACGTGGTTAGTGGACAGTTGCTCTCAGCGGTTGGCCCAGAAGCAGCACATTAGTCCCCCTTCTGGT